TTTTAATGTACCGTGAGTCACCGAAATCAAGAGAATGTCAACTTTCACCGGTGAATGTTAACAATCACAAAGTCATGTTTGGTTAATGTCCGAAATATTTGTTATATTCGATTTGATATTAATTTATTTGTTGATATTATTACATCTATTCAATATTTTAATATCTGTTGAGAACAGATTAGGAGAAATATCAGTGTTCGGAGTGCCAATTAAATGTATACCGGGAAGTGGCACTAGACCTTAAAAAAACATTAGTGCAGGGCAGGGATGGCGAACCAATGGCACGCGACACAATATTTTGGGCACGCCACCGATCACAATTGTTATTGCATTCTGAATTTTTATTACACAAATGCCACACACTATGAAGCATATGTAACAATTAAATTAAAATTCACAAAAAACAAACAAGATAATAAGCAATTATTAATAAAAAAAATAAACAATTAATGCTAAAAGAACAATTAATAACCATAAAAAACAAGCTAATAATAAATAACTAGCAAAAAAAATCAACAGTCTTGCTTAAACTAATATTTTACAACCTAATATAAGTTATTTGTCACTTAATCTGCAATAACAGAAGTCCTACTGATGCTACTTTAAGTTGAATTACGCGTATAACTGAGACATTGCAAAATGTATTTTCTTTTCCATGTAAATAAAGAGTTTTGAGTTGATAATATTAAGTATTAATATTTTCCCAATAATCATGAAGTCAAAATTATTTGACGGCACGTCTGTGATTTCATTAAACAATTTTTTAGAAAAAATGGCACGTTGGTGTATAAAGGTTCGCCACTCCTGAAATAGGTCTTTAAGTTAAAATTATTTGTCTGTCTGAAATATTGAGAGGAAGATCTCTGGTTATCCAGAGGTACACATACCTACTGTCTCCCCGCTGGTGACACTATGGGTAATATACGCATTTATAAATGTACCTGATTCTTTCCTGTTTGGTATGAAAAGTGTACAGGAAAACGAAACTGGATTTTACTATAAATGAGACATTTAAGAAAAATTAGTTAAAAATTTTATTAGTAAAATTAGTATTTTATTAGTAACGCATATATATATATCCAGTTAGTGACTTGGAATAGTAATTTTGTACATTTTCTGTTTTTATATTCTATTAAAGTTTGTTTTTTCTTAAACTGTTGAAAACCAATGTTGATATAGCTTAAATATTTTTTATTTCAAGTCATAAACAAAGATATGTTTGAAAAATTACAAAAAAAAATGCATATAATACTCATTTACCTTTTAAGCAATACTGATCATTCATACTGTTTTCACATTGAAGTTCTAATATAATTCTTGCTATATCTCTTCCGTTTTATCTCTTTCACGATATTCTAAAGATACTGTCAAATAGAGTAAACTCCATATATGTTTAGAAAAATTAAAAACAATTGGGTCAATATTTAACAGATTTTGGTTTGGGTTGGCAAGAGGAAGAGAATCAGGGGAGAGAGAAGCTCCCCTCTTTAAAATGAGTTCCTTTCATTTTTCCATAGCAGCAGAGGATCTGAGACTTTGTGGCGAAGGAAGTTATTTCCATTGGCAAACTATATACTTCCTCTATTTCAGTTGCAAAGCCGCGATGGCTAAAGGGATAGAGCAGTGTTTCCCAAAGTGTGGTACGCATACCCCCAGGGGTACGGAAACAGTTCAAGAGAGGGTACGCATTCTTATGCGAAATATCTTGCAGCAAACGAAAATTTAAAAAAATTTTATTCGAAAACAAAGCTAACCATGAAAATTTACGATTACGAAATTAATATTTAGTGGTGTCAACAGCCAGTTGTGATTTTTAACTTTTGTGCAATTTTTTTATAGTAAAAAGTACATTCATTTTTTTCTATCACTGGTACACAGCATTACGAAAAATTTAGAAGGGGTACACAAATGTTATAAGATAGGGAAACACTGGGATAGAGCATTCATCTTCCAATAAGGTGAACCGGGTTGGAATCCCAGCGATTTCTAGTCGATACGAATTCTGCACCTACCACTGTGCCGATGTGAAATATTCTCATGGGTTAGAGTCCCCTTGCCGCCAGGCAAACAGTGGGTTGTTCTTGTGGTCTTCCTCTCCATGTAACTCAAATGCAGGTTAGTTCCATAAAAAGTCCTCCACAAAGGCAGATTTCTCTCAATACTTGATCCAGGAGTTACCTTGTCTTCTGTGTTGGGTTCACAAGCCTAAGGAGTTGAACATTAGTATTCGCAAACCCAAAAAATTGGGTTGGTAGTTTAACAATGGTTATAAAATATTTTAATTGCTGGTCTAGTGGACCAGCAATAACTATTTTATGCTGGCCTTTGTTAAATTTCAGTGGTTCCACACCATTTTTTTTTCAGCCGTTAACTTACTACAACAATTGCCTTTTGAAAAGATGAACAAAATTTTTTTCTATTTTTATTGTGGGTTGAAAGTTTTGAGTAGAATGAAGTTAACAAGCTTTTCTTTTTTAGGTTACTTAGATGGAAGATGTTTACTAAGTGAAATTTGTGCGACAGCATGAAACATGAATGCCATGGAAAATATGAATATTGAAGATTTAAAGGAAGAAATCTATGGTGGGTACATACTTTTTAAATATTCATAAAGGCTGTTAGTCAAAATAATATTATTGGTATGTTTTGTATTCATAACAGGTTATAAAATAACAAGGTTCTTATAACCCTTAATTTATGAAGTTGTTTATAGAGGCTTTGAAAAGTATTTAATTTTGATTATTATTTTATCAGTCTTTAACGTTTTTAAAATGTTCTTATTCTTTTTATTCCGTAAAGAATTATTATTGATGATGAGATATTGGCAGCCAATATCTCATGATATTTATTTCTATATTTATTTTTAATTTCAAGATAAAAGTTCTTTGTCAGAAACTAGCTATTTTATCACGATCGTGTGAAGTCTCTGAAAATTATTTTGCATTTTATTAATGTATATAGTGCTTGAAAATATTTTTTGAGTGCTAAAAAAATACTCAAAAGGTGCTTATTTTTTGTTGAAAAATTTAGCTACGCACCCTGAACAAAAATTTTTTTTCTTTGTTCGAACATCACCAGATTGGATGCCTTTTATCCATCTCCATAATAACAATGGCTATCTACAAATTGAATATCGGTCTTTTATTTAAAGATAAAAATAGAAATATTGTTTGAGATTTTAAATTTGATAATGCTATACAATTATAGAAAGTGCGAAATAAGGAAGTAAGCTATTAAAGTTTTAATAAAATATTTTATTTAAATGTTTTATTTTTTGAATGTTCAATTTTATTTTTATGCAGAATGTATCAAATATGAAAAATGCCAAAAATTTAAATAGTGCAGATCTTTTTGCAATCTTTTATTTCATCCATAATTATTATTATCTAATTATTTATTTTTTTATGAAATTGGACTCTGTATATTAATATTTCATTTCACCAAAAAAATGTCAAGTCATTCCATGAAAAAAGAAAAAAAAATCTCTACTCTACCTCTGGTTGTTAATTATTCAATTCCTACTATTAGTTCATACTCTCCCTATATCTCGTTCAAATTTTCAATCGTTAATAAAATACTTTTTATTCATACACTCAACTTCAAATACATTTTTTTTAACTTGCCATGGATGGCACTTGATGTTTATACAGTTTTTTCAAATATTAATTCATTAATTAAATTTTATTAATTAATATTAGTTTTATATGGGAGAAAATTTTTTAATTATTTAATAAAAAGTAACTAAAATGAAATTTTTCTTTGTTGACGTGAGTCGAAATTGACTTTGAATTTTTTTTTCTTCATATTACTTCTTTTTAATTTGTAACTTGCAACTTTGGAAATGTATCACTTTTTGTTTTATAAGCATTTCAGAAGTAGTTGATTGTTTTTATTTCTGTAGATGTGATCAAGACTATCAAAGATCCTGAGAAACCACAAACTTTAGAAGAATTGGGGGTGATAAATGAAAAGGATATTTCTGTAAAATTATCTCCTAACTGCCCTGTCATCCAAATTGAACTTACACCTACAGTGCCTCATTGTTCTTTGGCTACAATCATAGGTGAGCTTTAAACTCATTATAACTAATGTTAAATGAAAAGGATATTTCTCTTAAATTATCTCCCGATCCTAGAAGAGTTTTTTTCAATAGATATCTACTTATAATTAATTTAGTAATCTAACATATCTGTAGCCTCCCACTAACGCTCAACGAGAAAAGTCTTGCCTAGAGCAGTACGGTGCACAGTGGGACAGCATCCAAGTTTTCGTGGCCAAAATTAATATTTCGATAAAATTTGTTTCAAAATTTGTATTTAGGGATTTTTATGTGCAGGTAATTTGAATTCATAGTTGAAATTTTGAAATACACTAAAAATACCAGCAAAAAAACAATAGCTGAAATATGGCGAGCAAAAATAAAAAAATATTGTATGTTAAATAATTAAATAATTTTAGTTATTTTATAGGTTTAAAAATGAAAAGCAAATCATATTTCCAAAGTAATATCTATAATAATTGTTTAAAACATTTTATATTAATTTTTTATTAATATATAAAAAATATGACTTAAAATTAGTAAAACAATGTTCGGTCATAACAATTAAACAACAGAATCGAAAAATTATTTTCTCATTGATTATTTAACATAAGAAATGAAATATTTAACTGTTTTTGTTATCACAAAAAAAAGTTTTGATTATAATTCGATGTTTAAGTAATCGACATTCAATCTTCGTCTTCAGAAGCTGTTTGTTAACTCTATATTATCTGAATATTCAGTTGAAAGAGTTGATTCCATTCAATTTTCTACTCCATCTTCATCTTGTAATTCAGTATCTCAATTTGTTTGTGGAATTATAGGCAAATCCAATACAGCTATGACCTCAGCAGAAAAAATTTCTTTTTTTTTGCTTTGGTGCTCACTCCTGCAAATCCATACTGGGTAAAATACAGGGCTCGAAAAAACTCATAAATTCTACCCGTCCCCGAGGACGGCTTGTCCAGCAATGTACCCGTCCTCCTTTGAAACTAACCCGTCACTTCTAAATAAATAAAAACATAATTTTCTCTTATTTACTGCAAATATTTATAAAATTGCTCAATGAATTAGTAGTTACTAGGATTACAAATACTAGGATTACATTATACAGTAATAAAAGAAATACTAGGTTACTAATAGTAACCTAGTATTTCTTTTATGAAATAATTAAATGACAAAGGTCAAGATATCTGGAATGTCGATTTATCCGAGGGTACTGCATTTTTTAAATGAATCAAATTGGACATTTGCCAGTTCTACAATCAAGCCAATGATTTACAGAGGTTTCTGCACGGAAATCTGAAAGGGGTTTTCCATTTAGGTAGATGTTCATAATTGCGTCCAACGCTTCTTGTTTAGGACCAGTACGTAATGTGTTTTTTTTAACAGTGACGTCACGAGCTGGGCGGTATGTGATCAAAGGAATTGTTAATTCCTTCGTTAGAAGTTCAAATGCACATGCACAGAGCAACTTTTCTTTTGTTTACCGATTACATGAGCATGCGCATTTGGTCAGACGAAAGAATTAACGGGATTTCTAGATTAGAGGATCATTTTAGAGGTGAAGCGTTAAACTTTTGTAACAAAAATTGAAAATGTATCACGAACATTAAAGGGCAAATGGCCGTCCGTGCGGGCGTCGGATTCGAGAAATTCGTTGTCCGCGGGGAATTTTTGACCGCCGAGGGCGGGCGCGCGGTTTTTCGAGCCCTGGTAAAATGTGTGGTATTGTGTAAAACAAATACTTCAGATGGTAAGATGCAATTTTTACAATAAATAAACTTCATTTAGAACAATAATAACAGTTTATATGAATATCTATACAAAATAATGCGAAAATATGAAAGAAATATAATTTTTGTTTTTTGGTATATTTAGTTCACCTTTGCAATACAGGCAAAATGGGGCAGGTTTTTTCGAAAGAAGAAACATCAAAGAAGACAACCAAAAAAGTTAAGCTAATTACCTCGTGGAACTTTTTGGAACTAAATTTCGAAAGTCATTCAAACATTGTAAAATGTCAAATGATGAGATATAAACTATAAGTTTGTCAAGGGTATTAACTAATCCAAAAAATTGAAAAATTGTACTATAATTTAAAACTAATTACTCTGATAAAAATGTAACAGTAAGGTGAAATTCCTATATATATTTCTGAAATAAAAATTCCATTTAAAACAATTACATTTAAAACAATTTTTCTAACATATTTTTCATTAAATTGGTCCAAAAAGTAAATTATAATGTTTGGAATGATTATGAATACTTAATTTGGGATACATTAAAATTGCCTGCACTTATTTTAGTTGAAAAATTAATTTTTTACTTTTGGCCAAAGATCATAGTCTTGTGGCCCACAGTGCAGAGTAGAGTAGATGTGCAGAGTCCATGACCTCTGCAGAGTTGCACAAGTTGCATATCAGGGAAAGAACAATTTTGAGTCTATAAAGATGGTTTCATAGGTAGTTATGTCCGGTAGCTAGGCAGAATCCAGCCAGTGTTGTACACCTCGGGCCAATAAACAAATTTGAGATGGTATTCTTCTAAGACTTTTGGGAAACACGGTTATAGAAGTCTTCTGAGCATGGGCTTTAATAGATAGTATAATAAAATTATTAACAGTATGGAAAGGCATAGAACAAGAAATTATTTGCCTAATTAAAGCACTCTTTTTAGCCAAGAAGTTGGCTCTTTTTATTGTTTTCTGTTGTAACTGTTCATAATCTGCCATTAGAAATAAAAAATTTAATTAGTAAGGCTCAGACTTTGAGGATATCTGAATTTCTTTAATTTTTTTTTTCTCTTTTAGGTAATTCTTTTAATTTTTTGAAAGCTTTTTTTTCGTGTATTTTTTGGAGTTTAAAATTTTCTTATCCGGTTGTTTGAAAATTTTTAATATTTTTCCTTTGTAACTTTATTTTTCAGAGTATTCAGAATATCAATACATTTTCTCTTTATTCTTTGGTCTTTTCTTGTTTTAGCATTCAACATTTATTTAAAAATTTAATGAAAATTAAATCGCAATTTCTTTTCATTTAAAAAAGTTTTATGTTGTGCCTATGGAAAGCCATGCATCTTAAGGGTTGAAAATTAATATTAAAGTGAGATGGAAAAAATAGAAAATGCTATCAAAATCTGATGAATTTCCATTGAACTTAGAACTTCAACCTAAAGAACATCAAAAATAAGTTCAAATTCAGGATATTAAACAATCTTCCATCAACCTGCATAATGGGTAGTCTTCATCATAGTTTTAAATTTTCTTCTGCTAAAATCATTTAACACTGCACCTCAGCCACTGATCTAGATCTCTAGAAATCATTTCATATTTTTAAAATTCTAATTATTTCAGTATGCTTATTGTAATCTTAGAGGAATAATTTATGTAGACAGAGCTGGTCCACCTTTCTTTGTTGCGAAGAATGTTGTCACTGGATACAAGGATGATGCACCTCAGCCACTGATCTAGATTTCTAGGAATCATTTCAAATTTTTAAAATTCTAATTGTTTAGTATACTATTTTTCAATCTCTTAATTTCTGCATCTTGCAATGCTCAGGATTCTCACTTTCCCGATCACACCTGTTTTATGGTCCCCTTCCTTTGTTTGATTATTTTGTTCAAGCTAGTTCATACTCCACTTCTTAGGAACTATAAATTTCAACTATAATAGTCCACTATAAATTTCAATAAACATAGATCTCATACTGTGTTTTTAGATGTGGAGAAAAATTCATAAAGGGATCTTTTACATTTAAAAAAGCACGACTTTTGTTCTTTTGTATTCATTTCTAGACATTTTGCTTCAATTTGTATGTTATCATATGCCAGTATGGAATATATTATTAACATGTAGAAATGCTTTTTATTTTTTATATTTTTATTTAAATTGATAGATTATAATGCAGTTAACATTTATAGGTACTTTCTTTATAATTAAATTTCATATTGGTGTAAAAATTGGACAATCTTTACTACTTTTATGATGAAGTATGTGCCTTGGATTGGCACATTATTTTCACTCCAGTATTTTGTAAAGACATGGCATTTTATTTTCCCTCTGTAATTTACAGTTATTTATATATTAACAAATAACTCTACTAGTTATTTATATATTAACAAATACTTATATTTAACAAATAACTCTGTTGTTTACTTATTAATTTATTTTGATGCTTTAGAATGAATCGTTTTAATAAATTCAATCAGAAACTTTCATTTGTACAATTTTTCTCGTCTTTACATAGAATTTATAAGCAGAAAAATATTATTTTTTTTTTATAGTTTAGTAAATTTTTTAGGAAAAATTCTTTGGATATGCATATTTTTTTAAAAAAAATTTATATTTATTGTTGTATAGTTATTATTTTGGGAAAATCTATATATTTTTTCCAATGCCCACCTGATTAACACTCGTCATTCAGGTATTAGTAGGGCAGATTTGTTAGCCATTCTTTCAGGGATGGTAGGTGGATCATATTAGGTGGGCCAACTGTACTATCTGTCCAATAAGGACAAATAGTACAGTGAATGATAGAACATCTATGCCTTGTCCAGGATTAAAGGCGTTACAGGCATCACTGCTTTATTAATTATAAAACAAAATAAATTATTGATGGTCAACTGTTTAGAATAACTCCCATACAATCCAATTTGATTGAACATCTACCATCTATTGCTAAAAGAAAATATTACTTACATATAGGGGTATAGTTTTTAGGTATAAAAATTTTCTTTAAATAAAATGTTATGAACAAATAAGCTTGAGAACGTAATATGGAATAAGTTTTATTTGTTTAGATATAAACATTTTTTAGATAAAATATCTCTGTTATATAAGGTGTGATTTTTCTTAAGATATTTGATTTCTATTTTAGGTTTATGTGTTAGAATGAAACTAGAGAGACATTGGTCCAGAAGATATAAGGTACAAAAATCACATTTGTTAATTAAATAATAATTATAATCAGAGATCTGTAGCATGTCTACCACTACAATTAGTAAATTCCAATTCACTAGTATATTAGGCATGTTAACTCGATTCTATGTTGGGATACCTTTGCATCGATGAAGGTTGACATTGTCGATAACACTCACCCCACATTGGTCACCTGCCTATGCAATCTGAACACACTTACCTTGACAGACATGCCCATTTTGTTTTGAACATGCCTACTTTGATAGATGGTCCACATTGAACAGTTGACTTGCTACTTGTGACCGCAATATTGTCCTCAGCATGCTGTTGCTACTCAGTCTCGATCACACACAACGTCGTCATGTATACACTCGATTGCTGATGGCAGCACAGGGGCAACCACAACCATGCTCTTTATACAGCTCTCAAAGTCTGGTGATCTTAATACAGCTCTCCCAGCTTCTCACAAAACAGCAATATCCACAGAACAGGTATCCGTTCATTGAATTCTATCTCAGATAAAATTCTGTTGGGGGAGCAGTGTAACATGTCTACCACTGCAATAAGTCAATTCCAATTCACTAGTATATAAGGCGTGTTAACTCAATTCTAAATTGGGGTACCTTTTCATAGATGAAGTTTGACATTGTCAATACCACTCACCCCACAGGTCTGAAAATCCCTGTTGCCTAAAACTTTTTATGACAATATTAAAATCTATTACCCAATAACAATATTTAAGTCTGAAAAATCTTAATTATTTTCGGGAAAAACACTTATTATATGAGATGACTCTATTGTCTTAAATAGCTTAAACAGGTTTGACATTCCACAGGGAAAATACAGGAAATTTAAAAATCACCTAAAATAACAGGGATAACGCAGGGAATTTTATTTCTCTCAAAGTGCAATCAATGGGATATTTAAGGAAGATATTTCAGCTTTACTAAACTATTTCATTTACATTATTTGTTTAAAGTATGTTAAGCTGTTCCTTATTTCTTTAACTTTTTCTAACAATTAAAACTGATATAGCTAAACTAATATAGTCAAACAGTGATTGTGTATTTCCTCTTAATATATTGTGTGGAATATGTACAGGGAAAACACAGGGAATTTTTTTGCCAGATTTTAGTAGATTGATCTAGTTGAATTTGTGGATAATATTTTACTCCTCCCACTCTATTTAAGACAGATCTTTTGAGCCCCGTGGCAGAATCGCAGAGACGCGGCGACCTTGTCGCGGAACGTTACAGAGTTCGTGCAGAAAGATTTTTGCTTTGAAAAGTTTTTTTTTTTAAAAAATCACGTAATATTTGTATCGTGCATTTAAATAATCACTTTTTGACACGCTCAATTTACGCCGATAGTATTGTAAATCGTTGTAATGTTTTGATTGTATTTTCGGCAGTTATTGATAATGATTTCACGCGGATTTTAAATATCCTGATATATTTCAAACAATATGGAAAATTCTAATCATGCATTCGACTATTTACTTTTTAATGCAGTAATTTAGCGAATTTTTACCAGTTATTGTTATTGATTTCTCCATAGTTTTTTAATCAGATGTTATTTCTTACAACCTAATCTCGAAACGCAACACATTTAAGGAGTTTGATTTGCGTGATTTCGTTGTTGATCTTTTTTCCGGCAATTACTACTACAGATTTCATGATTTTTAATTATTTTCCTTATTGTGATGATTATTTACAAAATGTGAAGAAGGAAATAATTTGTGAGTCCCCCCCACACACACAACAAAAAAAGTGCGAGAATATCACCCATAATATTAGAATAAAAAATTATTACATGTTCAATTAAAAAAATATATAAATATATTGTAAACACAGTGCTTTTGTTATTTTAAATTATTAACATATATGTTATTTAAAGTATCATGCAGAAATATCGAGAGAATTTTGTCTCAGATAGCTCGAAAAAATTCTGCCATAGGGCTTTTGAAACTGAACATAATTTTGAACATATGTAGACCCCTAATTATGATGCTGTTTTATAAATGCACTTTTTACTAGCATGCATTTTATTAAATGTGAAAAACAATTCTATTAGTATTTTTTTTCCCTTTATTTTTTAGTTAGATGTGTACTTGAAAGAAGGCACTCATACTTCTGCTCATGCTGGTAAGAAACATTATTTTTGTATTGATTAATAGCTAATATTCTGTATAGATCCTTTTATCCATTGGATATATCTATGGATATAAGGATCTATATAAAATATCTATTAATTACAAGAATTAGTAGATGCTGGCATAATTGAATGTAAGGTTTCCGAATCGTGTGCTTCTTTAATATATTATATCTATATATAGACTATAATATTCTATATAGATTAGATAATGTTCATTTTTTTCTTTAATAAATACTCTTTTACAATTACATTAAAAAGGATTAAATATGTGTATTTACTTTTTATTTGTGGAATACTATTAGCATTAAAAAGGTATCATGTATGTATAATCAGCTTAGGAAAGCAGATATAGAAATATTTTACTTTTATAATCGAGTTGCAAATTCATAATGATTGAAATACAATAGCATTTATACTGGTTTTTAAATCATAAAATTGTTTTTAAAGACCTTAAATGAGGCTTATTGTTATTTTCCCCCTTGTAAACCTTTTCTTTTAGGTCCTTGTTTTTTGACGCTCTACAAAGTTAGTAACTGTTGGCAATTATAAAATTGTGGATAACCCTGGAGTTATTTCTGTTTCCTTTCATTTGATCTAACTAAACAATCTATCAACAAACTTATTATTTGTAGACCAAATGAGTCTTGTTGTAGATGGTTCTTACTGTAATAAAAAAAACTGTAGTGAATACTTCAAAATAAACATAACACTATCCTTAAATTTTATATAAAATTAATCAGTATCTGCTAGAAAACTGGAATTTCATTTGCATCAATGCAATAATTTCATGTTTATTTCATTCTTGACAGCTCTGTACTTAAGCATTACATTTTTATCAAATCTGCATTAAATGTAATCTATAATGTTGTCAATTCTTATAAAAAAATTTTACACTGAAAATAATGTTTTAATTATTTGATTTGTGTTACTCTTTTTGTGATACAAAAAGCAATCAAAATTTTTACTAAAAAGACATTCTTTTACTCCAATGAGTCCTTCAAAGCTTTTTTTTTTTAAATAAAATTGATGGTTTGCACTTCTGAAAAGGTTGCTTACTGCTATTGTATAATATTATTGGTAACTAATAACCTGATTCAAAGTGTTTTAGCTCAATCTATGGATTTAAATAAAGGTTTATGCATTATGAGATGTGAACATAAATATGTGTCTGTTCACTCATTTAGCCAACTAAACAAGACTCATAGAATTATTGAGTTTAAGCTTCTGGGTAACATTTTCTTAAGTAAAATTAGCTTTAAAGTTGACACTAATACATAAAGATTGTGCCTTGTCTTTATCTGCAAGATTGCAATGGATAAATATCTATCACTCATTAAAACAGTTGGCACTAATGGCATTTTAATCAGCTGCCATAGGTCTGGTTTTCTAAGTTTAGATGTTTTTGTTGCCAAATGAGCTTGCAGTATTCTTTCACTACAAAAACAGATTAGCACATTCATCCACCGTGATCTAAGTGGCTTTAGCAAAATAAATGTATTATTATACCATTACCCAAAATATTTCAATTTTAACAAGAACACTTGAATAAAATTGTGACTTATGCAATAATTCATCTCTTTTAGTGAGCAAACAGTTGAATGACAAAGAAAGAATTGCAGCTGCCATGGAAAATCAAGAGCTGAGACGAATAGTGGGAGAGTGCATAGAGGATGAATGAGAGAATACTATGTCTCAGAAATACTTTATTATTTTTAAGTGTGACATGTTAATGATATTCTATTATTTTGTTAAGGAAATTGTTATTTAAAACTTTTAGGTTATTAAAAGTGATTATATATTTTTTCTACCTTTTGAGTGTTCATCACTAAAAATTTATAAAATTTTACACAACTATTGCCTTTACAAAGTTTTTTTTCTCTCATCTGCTGCTGTTTAAAACATTTTCAGACTTCAAAATCTTCATTACATATTGAGTTCTACATTAGGGAAAAAAATCCCGCTAGGAGATAGCATAAAATTGAACACCCAAAAATGCATCATTTTGGTCTAACTTTATGCATATAAACAATATTTAAATTCAGGGGTCTGTCCAGGGTATATTTATTACGGTTTAGCACTACCTTCACAAATTAAGGAAAAACAGCAGTTTCACAAAAAACTTTAAAAGCAAGTTCTTATTGCAATCTAAGGAAAAGAGCTTCTCTGCTAGCAGTCTTTTATGAAAAGGTAGCACGTGTTTGGTCAGATAGTGCAATATTATTAAATTCAAGTTGAAATTTAACTATGGACAATGATTTTTAAATTTGGGTAAAATTTTAAGCACGAGATTTTACAATAGTAAAACTATTTTTGAAAATATGGAGAAAAATATATTGAAATCTACCAGTCATAAATAATTTTTATTTGTAGTGACAATTTTTGAAAATATTTTCTAACTTTACCATATTGTTGTGATGATTTTTTAACATAATTTTTAATTTTCACAAATTATGTCTAAATTTTCACAAAATAGGTGCCTGTCAAAAAAAACCTAGGCAGGCCCTAGACATGGTGTAATCTTACGTTACCCAGTTTTATCATGCTGATTTATGTAATAGTTTCCATGCAAAAACCAGGTTATTTTTGGATCACTAAAGATGGAAACTTTCTTCACAAATTGAAAGAAATTTTAGTTTAGTCTTTAATTCTATTTTAGTTTAACATAGCATAGCTTAACCAAGATGCATAGCCAAATTATTCAACAAGAAATAAGCACTTAAAAAAAAATATCATAACTAGGCAGGGTAGGAAAGCTCTTGATAATTGGCAGTTTTATTTTGTTTTAACAGTCATGTCAAAAAAAAACTTTTGGCATTGTTTTTGACAGTTGTCAAAAAACATGAAATTTTGAATCATGTAAAACGGTCATGTTGACAGTTGTCAAAAAACATGAAATTTTGAATCATGTAAAACGAATGGCGTTTTCATACGCTACGGGCTGACAATACACCGTAATAGATTGGGGTTGACAGGGTTCATGCTCTACTTTAAGAATAAAATTCAAGTACTTTTCAAAGACTTATTATGTAATTCTCAAGGACTTAAATTTTAGTAAAAGATAGACTAAAAATTTAAAACATAAATGTTAGACGATAATAGCAGTACTAAAAAATAAGACTTCCATTGCTCTTCTCTTGCAAGGGTGATTGACATCAAGTCAAGAATAAAATTTGTGATGCATAAAAACGTCAAATTTGAATTTTACATAAGGCCTATTTTAAATTAGGTATACAACCTATGAATAAGCAAAATTTCGGACAAGTCATGAGGAAAAGAGGAACATTTCAAACAATCTATATAAAAATAAAAACAAAGTACACTTAAACTTATTCATAATAACAAATCTACAGTGAGAGTAAAGAAAATATAAAACATGCTAATTAAAATTATTAAAAGATATTTATTTGTAAAAAACTCATGCGTCTTATATGATATGTAAAGAATAAAACTAGCATCAACAAATATACTAATTAATTTTTGAATGTCTGTGGTAAAATATGATTGAAAAAAGAACAAAGTAGTCACTGGGAGGACAGGGGTGGAGTGTTCTATATAATACTGTTTTCTACACTAGGGAACGCTGCAAGCTCCATGCCGCCTATACTTCCAGGTTACTGTCTCCCCTGTATTTTAAAGCCATTTGGCTGACAATGTGATTATTGTGTTTTGAGATTCTTGCGAACATGGGATTTGATTACTTATTACTCGTGTTTACAATGCTAAAGGTGTTAACACTAACGTAGGATGGTCCACATCTTGCAACAAGAACAAACAGTAATAAAGAAATGGAAAGAGGCCATATCACGACTGCCAAAAAAGCGAGTTATTCAAAATCTAGCAACCATGCCACCTTTTTTAACCATATATCTATGTATAACTAAAACAAATTTTCACTTCAAACTCACCAGAATTACATAATAACATTAATATCTTGTGAAATACGGCAGATTTCAGCTCAGAAATTTTCTAATTTATTTCTTTTATTGAGAACAAAATTATCCGTTTGAAAATATCGCCTCGCAGAATAAGCTGTAGCAAACTTTCTAACCGGAACTAGAGCAGGTATAGAGCTCAGAATTGTTATTGTTTACATTTATATTAAAAACACCATCTATATAAAAACAAAACAAGATTTTTATTTAATATTTTAAGTGGCAGAAGCATTTAAACAGTGAAATTTAAATTGTTCTTGAACATAATTTTAAAATTTTTGAAAGAAAATTTATCAATTATAAGATGTTGCCGCTTAATTATTTTAAATTAATCATTATAAATTGAAACAGTGGCCAACTTTCACCTCGATATCCTCTGACAGATTCTTACTAACAATTTCAGTCACTTTGACTGCTTTAATTAACCACTCGTACTCAATTTTTTTTTTTCAGTATCCATTGTACACCTTTCAATTTGACTACTATAATAAAAATATTTTCATCTTACTCATAGCTGTTGTTAAAAACAAAAATAGGAACACAAAGCATAAGCCACTCATGGGTAATTATTACACAAACACTAAAAAATCAAAATATCCCTATCTTTATAAACCATACATATTTCAAATTTAGCATAATTAAATTACTTACTAATGAAGAATATAACATCTTTATAGTAACTAATTAAAAAAAAAAAACTTACTTCTTTCAAGAATTACGATATTGGATTTTAAAAATACACATTGCAATATTGAATTATTAAATTATGTGAATAAGAATCATAATACATTATTTTTAGATCACGTAAATACGAATCGCAACGAGTATTCTTCAAATCGCGTATAAATACGAAAATCGATGTTAAGACATTACAACCGCCTGATAACAAATCGCAATAATGAATTTTAAAAATGCGTGAATACGAATAGCGTCATTGGATTTTAAACTAGCGGAAGTACTAATCGCGATATTGGGGTTTAATGTTGTTGTAGTTCAATTACGTGACACTAGAGCTGCACTATGGGCTATTGGCGGCGGTCTGGGGAACATGCCATAGCAATTTTGATCCTCTGCAGAGGGGATGGCACCCCCGCATCGGTAGACCGACGACCTGCATGCGAAATCGAGCACTTTAAGGTACAACAGTTTAACGAGGACCAATACCGCACACTAATCCAAGTGGTCACCCACCCGCACACTGACAACAGCCAGTAATCTGCTGGGAACCGTGTCTTAACTATCAGTCCGCTGAGGGGCTATTTTGGGGTTCAAAAACGCTTGAATGCAAACTGCGTGAAAACGAATCTCAACACGTAACTTTTAAATCAGTGAAATACGAGAATCGATATTAAAATCGCCTAAATAAGAACAGAGATTTTGACAGAATCCGGCGCAGTTCCCTAAATTTAAAATTCCTAAAATCAGCCAAAAACAAACCATATAACTCCTTTTCGTTCTATGGCAGTAAGTACTTGCAAGGCAACGAGCCCGCGGTAGCTCTACCTTTTTTCTTCAGAACATCATCTTCTCAGGAGCCCTTTATGATTAATTTTAGTATTAAAAAAAAAAAGTTTAATTTTGAAAAATTACTTGAGGTTGAAAACAAATACATTATTAGCATTGAAAATTAAAGTGACAGTACTTTTCGCGCTTTTTGAGAGGCCAAGTCTTCTGTCACATCATTAAAATTTATTTCCTGTCAGATATATTTAATGCTCATGATTGACAAATGATTCAATGCATTGTTCTACAGTTGTTGGTTGGCTTATAAAAATCCCCTTTCCCGGAATTGTATAGCAGGTGCAGTAAATGAGCACGACAAATCACCCTTAAAAAAAAATCAAGTTATCTTTAGAAGTTTCCTTCTACAAGAACGTATTATTCCATCATTTGCAACATGTCGTTACTGATAAGACATATGGCTGAACCAATTATTTCTTTCATCACAATCTAATACTTTCTTTTTAAACAAATCAGTTAGGATTAAAAAAAAATATGTGATTAACTTCAGGGACCCTGAGCTAGGGCCCATCCTTAAAAACGGCTCTCCTCAGAAGGCTACTGCAGGGGGGGGGGAGTTCCTTCCAAGTCCAACTACTTATATTTCTTCAGAGTTATAAGTCAAACCAGTCTTCGTTGACCAAGGAGGGAAATCGCGACGTCATCATCTGATAGGGCGAGTTTCCGGTGCTTTTCATGGTCATTTTGAATTTTTCAAGGATTTAACAATATTTTCCAAGTACTTCCAAAGACCCTTGAAAATCAAATTGAAATTTAGAGTACTTTTCAAGGCCGCGGGAACCCTGCGATTGAATTAATTGTGAAAACGTTGAAGAGAACGTGAACTGTGTATTTTTGTATAAATCGTGACGAAAATCAACATCGTAAAATCTCATTTTGAAAAAGGGAAAATTAAGCACTTTTAAAAAACACCCAATGAAAAAAGCACTTTTAAAAAACGAAAATTTAAAATAAGCACTTAATAAAAACGCTACGCGCCCCCTGTTGAACTGAATTTTTCTTTCTTTGCAGTATGAAAAAACAAAATGACAAAACAGTAGGAAAAATGCCTAATTAGTAAACTTTATTATACATTTTTTATTTATTTTACAATTCTTGAACAAACTATACACTAACATAAAAACAGAAAAAGCCACTTTAAACAGAACTTTATTTACATAAGTACAACACTTCATCTGCCCCAATTACTTTACAACTTCTCAAACTTTGGCTAAGTAAACTCAATTGGTGCTTTTTTTATTACAAATCATGACTAAACTATAATTACTATTCAGACCGTAGCAATTATTAATTTTCTTTTTTGCTTGCCTTTTTACAATATGTACAGATATGATATTAACAAGGACGCATTCAAAGTAAAATGATATTTATACATTTGTTTTTCTGTGACACAAATTAAATACACTCGGGAAGGAATATTTTCAGGGGGGGTGCCAAAGATAAATAACCAACAAACATAGGTGCAAGTAACAAGAAATCTATTAATAAGCTTTCATCTTTTGGCTAGCTTCAACTTCAGACCAGGCTCTTGAGCAACAGTATTCCTCAATACCATCCACTCTGGATCTGTGATGTCCTCGACGGTCGAAGTGCTCATGGTCGTGCTGCCCGGGGAAGCCGGCGAACTGGGACCACTGACAGTCAGCTCTATGTCCTCACCATATGGGTCAAAGGTAATTTCTTCAAATTGTTCATCCGTAAGGGGAAATGAGCGTAGCTCGTAGGGTGCAATTTCCTCTACTTCTAACCTGGCACTAGTGTTCTCTTCCGAAGGTCGTTTCTGAGGGGGAATCTTTCTCCTTTCGAGAGAACTTTTCCCCAGGGACAGCTGAGAGTCGTCCGAGAGCGGTACAATTGAACTCGGGGTGGGTGGCGGTGAGAGTGCTGGAGGAGTAGGCACTGTCATAGAGTTCTGGTCTTGAAACATGTCTTGATCACTGAAAATGATTGGATCGGGAGTGTTGGCTCCACTGCTGTCGGCACGAGAATCCAATCTGTGCTCTCGACGCACCCTCTTGGGATTGGGCTGGACGTTCAAGGTGCTGGGTCGCCTGTTGATTTTCTTTTCTTCCACTTCAAGATGATCGTGTCTTGTAAGATATGCATCTTCGTGTGTGTTCTAAATTAGAAAATTAATTATGAAAACTTGTTTTAAGGTAATGCTTATCAATTATCCAAAATGAAATTTTTGTGAAAACTGATATACATACACAAAGTGAGCTTGGTGGAAGGAATTTGTGATGGAAAGATTTGAAGAGAAAGTTCTTATTTAATTATACAACATCATAAATCCAGTAGATTTTACGAAGTAATAAAATTTCATAATAATTGTTGCATTAAGTACTAAATATTTTAAGCATAGGGAATTTTAGTCATCAAAATAGAAAGACTGCAATATTTTCCAGTTATGATTGACATTAAACATAACAATATTAACAATTTTCTCATAATTTCGAATTTTAATATTTATTTAATTCATCCAAGATAGTTAGGATTTTTTTGATTAATTTAAAAAGATAGTTCTGAATAAAAAATAAACGAAACATTTTAGAGCAAAAAAAAAGAGGTTCGCTTCATTGTATTATTAGTAATACTTATTTAAATATTCAAGCAAGCAAAAATCTGTATGAAAATCATATTTCAAACTTAACTTATTCAAATTTATGGAATTTTCTAAAATGTAGAAAAACCAGGAGAATTTTAATTAAACCAGTAGACCAGGAGAAACTGACAAAATCCAATAGAGCAGTTTGATGCTATGCAACATTGATTTTGCTAAATCATTATAATTTTTATTCAAAAGAGCTCTTTATATACACACAAGGTATCTGCTACATTTTAGATTTTCAAATTCATGACTTTTCATGATTTTCCATGACTAATTCCAAGAATTTTTCATGACTAAACGAAATTACTATTTTCTCCAACAAAAATGCAACAATAATTTAAATAAAAAAAAGGCATTATAATAACATTAATTGAAATGATAGGTATAACCAAAACTGTTATACTCTGCATCTTTTAAAAAACAGAGTAAAGAAAGAATTGAAACAATAAAATAGCTGAAGAAAAATACAAAAGAAAATCCACCCCCCCCTTTTTTTTGCAGAATTATATTCTAAAGATACTTCTCTTATTCATCAGAAAGGAAAGAAATACTCCTGATTTNAAGCCTTTAAGTTTTCTGCCAACTTGTTCACATTGTTTCCACTAAGGTTAGACTAGTGAACTTAAGCTCACCATTGAGCAAACTACATGACAATTTGATTAGAGATAAACGCCTGTGTTTATGTCCTTTACATGCCAAAGCTCTGATTACAAAACTTTAAGGTTAAAAAAAAAATTGTGAAGGGTACTCGTGGTTAGAGAAATTGCAAAGAACCTAACCTCAATTGCTTCCGCGAAAGAACTGTGGAAGCTGGTAATCTGTTCCGCCCGTCTTTTTCTTTCACGGGCCATTTGCCAATCATTGTTATGATTGCCCGCCTCCAGACACAATTCTGCAAAGCATTGCAGGGAGGTCCGAATGCTAAATACCTTCGACGTAAGCCGCACGTTTTCCAACAAAAGTTGGGATGTCAAAGTGTCAGGCAAGTTTCACGAGGGTTCAGACGTCAGCCATTTTGGACTGATGTTTCGCGAGAAATAAATAAATAACCCCGAAATCCGGCATCTCGAGAGGAAGAATAAATATCTGAGTGACTTTTCGTAACCCTCCCCACACCTACTTCAGTTCTTCTGTTTATGCTTTTGTTGAGATTTGACTCGGAATGGATGTTGTTGTGCAAAAAGCCTTGGAATGTCTTCATTTCACACTGACACTTAAAATGCGAAATTCTGTTTGCAAAATAACAGTTTCCTTCGGAATATGTTAGGAAGTAGGATTTATCTGACATTAGAATGCAGTGAATGGTTGCGTGTTCAGCAAGTTATATTTATGTCCGTTAGATTATGTTCATTGTAAGTTAGGCTTATGTCCATCAGATTATGACCATTGCTAGTTAGATTCATGTTCATTAGATTATGTTATTGCAAGTTAGATGAATGCTTATTAGATTATGTCCATTGCAAGTTAGAATTATGTTCATTAGATTATGTCCATTGCAAGTTAGATTCATGTCCATTTGATTATGCGCATTGCAAGTTAGATTTATTTACATTAGATTATGTCTATTGCAAGTTAGATTTATGTCTATTGCGAATCAGATTTATATTCCTCAGATTGTGTCCATTGCAAGTTAGATTGCTGTCCATTAAGTTCAATAATCTTGGATTTGAATGTTTGATGCAAAGCGTAAACCTCACACAGCCATCCATTTTTATTTAATCTTTCTGATTTAAATCAAGCGATATTTAGGCTTATGTTCTTTGAATCAAATTTTATTTATCACTCCAATGTTTAAACTACAAACATAAATAAATAATAACATCAGCAATCATTGTTTCTTGCTCGTTGCAAATTTTTTTTCTCTTGTATACACACACACACACAAAAAAAAGTGCGCTTTTTAAACTTGTAAACAACGTGATTATAAATCCTGATGATTAATTTCAAAATTGCATGAATATCATAGCTGCCAACATTGGGTTTTCAAAAAAAGGAAGATATTAAGAGCTGTAAAATTTCAACGTATTTTTTCTCCAGAACACAATCAAATTTAAAGATTTTAAGACAATTAAGAACACTTAGGGACATCAATTTCAATTTTTTTTCAAAGCTTGATCAGTGCACGATTTGGCTTTCTTTAAAAAATTTTCAGCAAATGTTACATTGTAGTAATTTTGATTTTTACAAAAAATAATCAGCTTGTAATATTTTCTCTAGCATCTCATCACTAAGAGATGACCTAAACTGTGATTCAAAAACGATTTCAATAAAAACTAAGATAAACTGCTAACTATATACCTTTTCAAAACTAAGATTCAAAGACGTAGATTAAGAAGAAAAAAAATGCATGCGATTTCTTCACGATAGTAAACATTTGCTCTGTTGCAAGATGCCGTCAACTGAATTTGTTTTTAAAAAAATTGCCTGCGTTCGGTAGTCGAGTGAAACGTTTTCTCCCCGATCTATATTTATGGAGCGTTCCCTCTGCCAATCAGGCTTCGAAACGCAGCTGCGCTTCCGAGTGTGTTTCAACTTCTGCTTCATAGCTTTGATTTTTCTCCCTTGTTCGAGCACGTGCCGAGAAGATGCAAGAATTTGATTCTTGCTGTAAAAAATGCAAATTAGGATCTGCAAATTCGTTGGTTCTGTTGTAAAAAATCTGAAATAAAATGGTGAATTTTTTTTAAAAAATCGAGGAAAATTGGAAGATTAAAATAAAAAACCGGAAGGCGGAAGTTTTGATAAAAAAAAAAAATAATAATTTAAAAAAAAAAAAAAAGGAAATCTTCTGGTTAAACCGGAAGAGTTGGCAGCTAAGGTATATGAATCACATGCATGATTTTAAATTAAGAGAACATGAATCCCGATATGAGGCTTTTAAAATCACGCAAATACGAAACTTTATATTGAATTTTTAAAAAATTCGAAAATATAAATCATGACGTGTAATTTTTAGATCATGTAAATATGAATCACGATGCATAATTTTTAAATTGCGCGAGTACGAATCGAGCATGTATAAATACGAAAATCGATGTTTGATATTACAACCGCAAAAATGAATAACGACATTGGACTTAATGCTCGCGTGAATACGAATCGCTACATAGGGTTTTAAATTAGTTAAATTACAAATCGCGATATTGGACTTTTAAACCTTGTAAATAAGAATCGCAATGTACGATATTTAAATCGACTGAATAAGAATCGCAATGCTCGACTTTTAAATCAGGTAAATACGAAAATCAATGTTTGAGGGATGAATGAGGACTTCAATAGTTTCGCTCTGGGGAAAATTTAACTCCTCATAAAATATTTTAACTTGTGCAAAAAAAAATTCTGCGGAAATCAGCGGGAAAAATCTGGAGAAAAAAAGTGGAAATCACCGAAAGAATCACATCCCTGTAACTTGTATCACATAATAAAGCAGTTTTGTATTGGCACACACACACATTTTTGATTCACATTTTCTGACTGCTATGCTAACAGTTTCTATGTGGTTTTCAAAATCAAGTCACTTGATTTTAGAACAGTGATGACTATCTTAAATCAATGAGGGTCTCTACAAACTCAATCCATGTAGATTCTCTTGCAAATCTGTTGTCTTGTCGATCGTTTTATTGACGAGACAATACTTTAGATTCGTCTGAATACTGAATATCTTTTAAAGATTTTATTCCAGATGCATAAAGGTGGAAAAGTTGTTAGCTTAGAAATTCTCCAACAATTCTAGGTTTTCAAGAACTATTTAAAAATAAAATATCTATGCAACATAAATTAAATACTTACAGTAGACATAAGATTCTGAATTTCACTCTCTCCAATTCGAAAACTGAAAGAGAAAATAGAGTTTTTAGACAATTATTTTTTTTACCCAATAACAAAGGGGTAAAACTGCTCTTCAACGTGAGAGATTAATTTATTATATCTTAAATACATACATAAGATTTTTAAACACTAAAATATATTACATTGAGTCACTACCTATTTACTAGCACACTTAATAAATGAGTTAAAGAGAAAATTGCAATTTTTTCTTAACTACTTTATTTAATAATGATAATAAAAATATATTGATCATTAAGTGGAGAATTCTATCTAGGTGATAGAAGAAATATTAAATTAACTAAAACAGTAATATACCAAGAACAAATAAGCATACATGAAATACAGTACATGATTGAAGAGAGGGGAAAAAATTAATTATAATTTTAATAATTAAAGTTTCCAAGGAAAAGGGCAAATTATTATTATAAAAGGAGGAATTTCATAGCTTTTGTTAGCTCTTTTTTCAGAACTTGTTATTAAATTGCAGACAATTTTATTATCATGTTAAAAAAAAAGCAAAATATGAAAAATTGCATAATAGCCCAAAAGTGATAAGGCAATAGATTTATGTTTTTAAGAATAAGTATTCTGGTGTTAAAATTCAAGAACAATTATCTTGAATGAAAATTATAAAATGCAAATTAGTTCTGTGTTCCCTGATTAATTCTGCCATGATACCAAGTTTAATATAAATGTTCAGGATAAATGTTTGATGATATTCTGTTGTCAACTCCCTTCAAGGGTGATTGACCCCTCACAAAGTGAAAAACCCTGAAATTTGCAAACATTTGAACAGTGCTTTTTAACAAGATATCAATATATATGCTATTCATATTTAATATAATTTTTTAATCTAAGATATATAATTAAATTACCTACCAATAATACACACTTTTACAGCAACTAATTTAAGACCAAAATTAGTTCTTACAAGAATTGCAATATTGGATTTTGAATATCAGGGCATTAATTTTAAATCATATGCAGACAAATAGCAACATTGGATTTTAAACTCACGCGAATACAAACCAAGATATTGAGTTCAAAAACTTGTAAAAACAAGTCGAGGTATTGGATGTTTTAAATCACGTAAATACAAACCGCGATGTATGATTTTTAATTCGTATGAAAACAATTCACAATTAAAAAACTTTTAAATCAGGTAAATACAAAAATCAGTGTTTGATATTAAAATCGCAACAATATTATTAGCGATATTGGCAGATTTCGGCATAGTTTCAAACATTGGAAATAAAAATACGCCAAACCAAAAAAATGAAAATTGCAAAAGAGTCACTTGTATGAATTTTAGAACTTAATTCTTGCTTTATATTTTAGATTCTGGTGAAAATTTCATCAGATAATAACTTTGATTCATGGATGAATCAGTGGTTCTTAAATACGCAGAATTCCGGAAAAAAAATAGCATGCCCTGCTACTAGTTTCTAGACCTGGAAAGATGAAATGAAAAACTCGGAATTAAGTCACACGTCCCTTAATCCTAACATTCAATTCACTTCAGAAGTAAAAATAAAATTTTCTGTTCCTCTTTTATTTGATTTCGTAACTTAAACAACCAGATCAGTTTCCCACCTCTCTCATCATAATCATTTCAGTTTTTTTTTTTTTTTTTTAAATTTTATTAACCCTTTTATGTTAATTCTAATCACTCAACTGTCAGAAAATTTCTACATTTTGTATTTTTGCTTTACTTAAAAACTGTATGTCAAAAAAAATGAAGAATAAAACTCATCCCACAATTGCAATAATAGAAAATGAGTCTTTAAGAAAAGTAACTTCTTTCTTGTTAACATTTTCTAGATATTAATTTGGTTTTGGTAAATAAATAAAAAACCACTGCATTAACATTGGTAACTTTTGTATGCCTCAGATTTCATATTGATCTCAACTAAATTGCTATTCAATCAACTTTTAAAAGGAAATAAAAAAATATTTAAAAAAAGAATTACACTAAGAGAAAAAATAGACTGTGTTAAATATAAGTAAATGAATAAAAAAAATATGAGAAAACTACAAAGATATATAATTATACATACCTTGGGACTACAATATCTTTGAATTCAAAATCTACTAATCGTGCACTTTTATTACTATACGGAATAATAACATCATCAATGTCAAACTGATTCTCATCTCTCCTCCTTTTTACGCTGTCATAACCTAGAAAAGAAGGAAAAAAAATTTCATGTAGAAAGGGCAAGTAAGAAAACTTCACAGTTAGCAATATACAGTGAAACCCCGATTTTACAATGTACCTTTCATACGTTATTCCACCTTCTACGTCATTTTCTGCTGGTTCGTGAAAATTGTCAATACTAATAATGCTTAACTGTCGTGGATTCAATGATGCTTTAACAAAAAAAAAGAAAGAAAAGAAAAAAAGAAACCTGCTTTGTTCTTTTTCCTAATAGATCGAAATCATAGTTTCTCTACAAAGCTAGCACAAACTTTTTCTAAGTTATCTATTTTGTTAAAGTGACTCAGGGTGCATACCCAAATTTTTCAACAAAAAATAAGCAACTATTAAGTACTTTTTAAGCACTAAAAAATATTTTTAAGCACTTTAAAAAATTATAATTAGGATATGCACATGTTAATGAGTTGCAAAATGATCTTCAAAGTTACATGATCATGATAATAATTGATTTTATAAAGTTGGAATATCAACCTTAAATATCTCACATATTACACATCGAGTGGTCACCATTTTTTAAAAGACAGAAATAAGATAAAATTTGACTCACTCTCTTCGTATAAGGAGCTAGGAGATGGAACAGGAGAGTCGTGAGAACTACCACTAGAATCGATAGATATCCTCCTAAAGCAATCTCTCGATTGAAAGGATCCTGAAAACAAAAAGACACCACAATGAAGCATCAATGCAATTGAGGAAACATTCATCAATAATTATATAAATAAGGTTACATGTATCTTTTAAAATCTCTTATTCGCAATGTTTCAAATTGAAAACTTGTGTGCAAGAACAAATCGGTTATACAAGACATTTTTAATAACATTTTACTCGATCTTAAAATTTTAAATATTCCCTAAATATGAAATAAGATTAATAAGAACACGTTTAAAACAAAACTTAATATAAAAATAATAGACCACACTGAGTCAATAAAAGTTCTATTAATAAATTTAAATTTTTTTTATTTTCAAGGAATAAAAATCTTTAAGCATACAAAACTCAGAAACATTTTTTAACACAAAAACACTGGAATAGATTGCTCTCTATTGGAATCTATTGTTATGTGAACTCATAATAATCATAACAATTTTTGAATTAAAATATATGCATAGCAGCCATCATACATAGGAAAAAATCCAGTAGATTTTACGAAATATAAAGTTCATGCTAATTGTTGCAGAATATACTTAATATTTTACACATATGGAATTTTGATAATCATCAAAAAAGAAAGCTGCAATATTTTCCAGTCATGATTGGCCTTAATATGCTTGAAATTTTGTGTATTATGTTCATAATTTTGAATAGTAATAGGCACATCATTCATAAAAAGGGGAGTTTTGAATAAAAATAAACTGAACACTGTAGAACAAAAAAAAAGCTTTAAACAGACTTCGATAAATGAGTCTCGCTTTATTATATATTAGTAATACTTATTTAAATATTTAAGAAAGCAATAATCAGTGCATAAATTCTATTTTAGGATAACAAAAACCAGGAGAGTTTTTTATTAAACCAATAGACCAGAAGAAACTAGCAAAATCTAGTAGAGTTGGCAGCTATGCATATGATTCAATAATCATCTTCTGGAATTTCACTCAAGTTATAAGATTTTATTTTGTTAGTTGTTTCAAAACATCATTAGTTGAGTATTGAATTCTATTTCTTACTAAAAGCAAATAAAGATTTAACGTTGTAATTAATTAGTTTTTAGATCAGAATCTCATATTTCTCAAATTTTGAAAGCCAATTTTTTGTTTTAAAATTTGTTTTGCTAATGACCTATATATATACATATTCCTTTAATCTCTGAATTGGAGCATAGGACTTGGATCATATCTTACCATCTCAAGCAATTTGTGGCCAGATATTTTGCCTATGTCCATGTCCTCTTGCAGAATCGCAGTGACACGGTGACATTGTCACAGAACGTTACTGAGTTCTTGCAGAAAGATTTTTAGCTCAAAAGTAACAACATTTAGGTTTTCTTTTCAACAGAAATTCATACATATAATTTGAATCATGAGTTTAGATAATTACTTTTTGATGTGCTCAATTTACGCCGATAGTATCGTAAATCGATGTAATGTTTCAATTGTATTTTTTTGACAGTTATTGAACTTGATCTTTCATTATTTTGAACATCGGTATTGTTATCTAGCTTCCCTATTTACCAGTATTGTTCAGAACCGGTGCGAACAGCAGAACGGTCAAAACGAAACAAATACGGATATTTTTCAGCCAAATAAATATAATAGCTGATGAAAAAGTAGATATAGAACATTTCCATATGATGATGCAGCAAAAATATTCAATTAGAAGATGTAAAAAATGTATTATAATTGAAGAAATAATTTTTTTCCAAGTCTATTCGTGTTTTTTTAATTTTTAGAAATCTCACTTAACTTTTTGAAATCTCACCCTGATTTTGAGAAAGGGCGAGAAATTCTCTCCCATTTTTTTTCTGTAATGAAAACACTGCTTTCAGTAATGGAGAAAAAATTATAAAGCGCTGCCACTGATGGCTAACTTTTTTAATTTCAATTTAAATCAGTTTCATTAAAACAGATCTGCCAACCTCAGAAATTCAAGAATCTTGTATCTTTTTTTTTTACTATGGCATCGTTTAATAAGCAAAACAATATTAAATAATTTTTTTTTAAATTCTCTCTTTTTATTAAATATATATTACTAACTTTTACTTCTAAATTTTAAAATAATAAATTATTCCAATATTTTAAAACAACTTGATTGATCAAATTAGGCATTTGGCACTCATCAAAAACGTTATATAAAAATTTATCTGTCTTTTTCTGGCTTGCTTTACCCAACAACTAATTTTCCAAAATTTGTTTTAATAGGAAAAAAAAATGCAGCCAGGTATCACTTTTTCTGAAATGTATTCACATTGTAAAACAAGAAACTGCGTTTCTTCAATATCAAGCTTGTTATTTTTTAACTGCTTCCCTGATTATCCCGAGAAAACTTGGTCAGAAGCAAAAATATAATCTGTTGTGGTTTGCCAAGTTTTATTTGGGAGTTTTGCTGTTGGACTATGCGACTGCAACATATTTTGTGCGATTGTGCATTCGATGGTTGCTGAATATACATAGCAATAAGAGTTTTTAAAAAAATGGTGTATTCCTGCACTGATGTTTGAAAAGTATCACTTTGTGTTGTCCCTTGTTTTAAGAACTATCTATCACACAAAGACTAATTAATATTTAACTTTTCTCATTTGCCTGAGATAACTTGGGATAGTAAACTGATTTTAGATTAAATATCTCTTTTACACAATAAAAAATTCAAATCTCAACTTGAGCATTATGTTTTGTTTTAGTTCGATGTATTTATCAATAGAATAAAAATGTTGATTTTTTACATTTCTTTTCTCATAATAATTGGTAAGGGAAAGTGGTTAATAAACCTTGCACCATCACAGAAAAAGCTTGGTGCTCGAAAAAGAATTTACTGAAAAATTACATGAATGGAACTACAAATATTTTAGCATGAATGGATGATGGATCACCCACTTTGCTAATGCAATGCCTCCTATATTGATCAGTTAAAAACACTTTTTCTTTGTTTAGGTTTATGAGACAATTCAATATATACATATGTAAATGAGGCTCAGGGTCAGCAGGTCATTGCATTGCGTTGCGTTGAGGAGAAGGTTAACTCATCAGCAAATAAAGCAGAGCAAAGCAATTATGTCTAAGACATGGACATAAAACATTTGTCATGTAGAGCAAAATGCAGGCCAAAGTAGCATAAGAAAGCCAGTAGATTTAACGAAATAATATAAATTTCATAACTGTCGCAATGAACTAAACTAAATATTTTACACACAAGGAATTTTAGGGATTTTTATAGTTATCAAAATAAAAAAAACTGCAATATTTTCCAGTATTAATTTTTGAAATTAATTAAAAATTAAACATATTTGAAATTATTTAAAAAAGAGAGTTCTGAATAAAAAATAAACTGAGGTTTACTTCATTATGTATTAGTAATATGTATTTAAATTTTGAAGCAATACTTCATACATAGATTCTATTTCAATTGGGATTTTTTTAGGTCACTTACTCAATTTTAGGGAATTTTCTAAAATTAACTAAAACCAGGAGAATTTTAATTAAACCAGTAGACCAGAAGAAACTGGCAAAATCCAGTAGAGTTGACAGCTATGAATGTGGCAGATCAATTTTTACAATGAGCTTTGTAACTAAGTTCAAACAAAGTTGCCCACGTCATTCTTTCTTCAATAGAATACAGAGGAGAGAATAAATTAAGAGCAATGTTAAAAATAATTTTGACAACTTACGTTTTGTTTGATACCTGCGCCATTTCCCGAACACCAGTCCATGCTTCCTTAAATGCTTGGTGTTCCTTACATGTTTATTACGATATTCTATAAAAAAAAATATACATAAAAATATCAAACATGCTTCATAGATTTTTAATTTGTTTTGTTTATAAAAAAAGCCAATCTTAAGTTAAAGACAGATTGATGTGAAAAACCCCAACATTGGGCAATTGTGCCAAAACAACATCTCTCTAAAAACTCAGATTACAATTCATTGTAGTTTTTACTTTTCTTTTTAAGGCTGTTTTTGATAAGTCTATTTCTTTCAGTATTTGTACATGCAATAAATCCCAGTTATTAAAAAATAAATTGTAATAGATCTCCTAATAGAAAACTTCTTTTCACACAAAATGACACAAGGGTGAATCCACGTTTCAATTTTTTGGGGCCCATTTTTTTAATGAAAAAAATTTACCTTAACAATTACTATTTTTTATTGGGGTTTTGTTTTGTTTTGCAAATATCCATTTTTGGTGGTTTTGTAAATTGCTACCAACATACTTAATACTTTGTTATGACATACGAATTTCAGCTATCATTTTCAATTTCAGCCTTCGATAGATGACGATTTTATTGCATTTTACGTTATTTGAAAGAAAAATAAAATCTATTCCCCCCCAGGTATACCTGCCAATATTGGAGAATTAAAATAACGGAGATTTTACTAGCAACATTTTTTGGGCTATGAGTAGAGATTTGATATATCATGCATAATCCTTTAAGTCAAAAAGAGAAATTCGAAATAGGGAATAATATATACACTTACATTTAGCAGAGTAAAAAATACGTATAAAAAATTGCAATCTAAAGAACATTTTTATAAACCATTATTTATAATTACTTAAGCTATTTTATAACTGTTGTTAAACAGCAAGCTCAATTTTGGGTTTATAGCTACTGAGGTTCAACTCCAAACCCTTTTAATTTTGAATCCAATCCAGAAGACAATAGAACTCCTGTATCAAGAATTTGCCTTTGTGGAAGACTTTTTGATGGAACCAACCCACATTTGCATTACATGGAGAGGAAAACTCTGAAAATATCCCACGTTTAACCTGACTGTAAATTGTACTTTAACATATCGCAACACTCAACATATTGCAGTACTTGCAAGAAAAGTATTTTTCCCATCAGCGGATATTTTATCTCCATTTTTTAAAAAAACATTTCTTAAACATATATGGAGAAATTTGAAAATATACAGGTAAACAGGAGATAGACATAAAATACAGGAGTCTTCGTTAAAAAACAGGAGGCTTTGCAGATATGCCCGCCCAGGCTACATGGGATCATTTACCTGGTATACGGAAAACAGCTGCTTGTTTTATCTACCATTTTAAACAAGAGCGATTGAGGCAAAATATGGAAATTTTATTAACTCTAGAAGTTAAGTATAAAGGGTGGGTGTAAGATGAAATATTCAAGTCCAGAGGGGCTGGGGAGGAGAAACATTCTTTATTTTCTCTCGTGTGTTACAAAGAATCAGTGGTTCTCTGATACGCTGGCATAAAAGAGCAGCAGTGCTGATTTATTTTTCATACATAAGGGGGAGGGAGAACACAGTGGTCATGCATATCTGTGAACAGAAGGATAAAGAGAAATAAAATGAATGTATCCCTCACTTTACAGTAAAAAAGGAAATACAAAAACAGCTAAAATACGGCTGTCTATTCAAATAAAGTAGGAATATAAGTTGAGACGCATCTTAACATTTCAAAAATAATCAGAACAATTTAGGTAATTATAACTCAAAACACAATAGACTGTGTCACTGGAGGGGAAAAAAATACAAAAAACCATATAACTTTGAATAAAATTCATAATTTACCAAAACTAAGCAATTCTTTTTGTTTATTTTTTGTACAAATTAAAAGATTCCAAAAACATGTCTGAAACCAAATATGAGTAGTTAGTTTTTTTTAATGCATTATTTAAAAAAGCAGATTAAAAAAGAACTTGGTAACATTTAATTTAAAATGAAACGAGTGAGTAGGAATTTTTCTAAACTCTTATCCCGTTAAATTTAGAATAGGAAATGAAAAGTCAGAAATAAAATATCGCCTGACAGTAAAATGGTAGAAATTGTTTGTAATTACAATATCTTTACGATTTATTTATATCCATTGTTATTCAAGTTCAATCCTTATTTTGTAAAAGTTTACATCACTTTAAGAGGCACTAATAAAAGTTTTTGTTGCTATAGTTGAAAGTATATACATATATAGAGAGATTAACAAAATGAAAAATAATTTTCAAAGAATTTACATGATCATGATAAAATAACTAGTTTTTGACAAAGAATTCTTTTCTTAAATATGTTAGCAACTATAAAAACGATTTATACACAATTTTAAATACATTTAATATTGAATGGTTCATTCTATTTCTCAAATTAATTACCTTAATTATGCAATAATTTCTTAATCGAAAATAATTATTTAAGACAGTTCTATTTTTTAGATTAAAGTAGTTATTTATAACGGCATATTCGACAAAAGATTAGTATTATTGATCACACCAAATTTATAAAGATATGTAAAGAGTTAAGCAAACTAAAAGAGCTTTAAATTCATTTAACAAATGTAAATTAAAATTAGTTAATGGTTTCAAATAAATTTTTAATAAAAAATTGATACTTTATTCAATATTTCTTTAATGAAGTGATTAAAAATATTTCAATAATTTTGAAATGTTAATACTATGAGAATTGAAGCTCAACATTTTTTGCCAGAAGTAAATATATGGTCCCTACACAATCTAACAAATCTGAGATAATTGAATTTGTTATTTCAATTGAATAAAAATAAAATTAAATTCAAATAAAAATTTTAAAAGTAAAAATACAATGATAAAAAGTAATAAGTAAAAGAAAGTAATATGGCACAATAAAAAATTACAAAAATCTTATGCAAGCGTTCTCCCCAAGCATTTTTAAAAGGATGCCCTGCCCTTTGATCTTATAAATGAACCTTCCTTGCTCTTTTTGAAAAAATATGCTTGCCATCCCTAAAAAACACTGTCTTTTTATTATATTTTTTCAGGAGGTGTTTTCTCAATCATCTGTTTTAATGACTTCCGATTTATTGACTTTAGTTAATAATTATTTAACTTTAATTTTCAATTTCATTCCTTAATTTTAGTAAGATTTTTCTTATGTTGTCTAGTTATACAGTAAGACCTCGCTTAAGGCTGTTTCGTTTAACGCTGTTTCAGTTTAGCGCTCTTTTATTTCAACCTGGGGATTCCCCAAAATTGTGAGCAGGGACTCCCCCAAATATGTACATAACATATTCGAAACAGTGTAGTTGTGTTTCTTGTTTGGTGCCGTGCTGTACGGACGCATTTGAAACATTTGTTGACATTATTGTAAGTACATATAAATTTATGTAATACTATAATGATTAATACAGTGATTAATACAACAAGAAAAGAAAGCAACCAGAAAAAGCATTTCACTGGAAACTAAAATGCAAGTGAGAAGATCAGATTCTGGTGAACGTCAATCTCAAATTAGTGCTGCATTGAATTTGGCAACTTCAACAATAAAGACAATTCTTAAGAATACAGAAAAAGTACTATCATCGGCAACTGCAACTAGAATTACCCGTTCTAGAAATAACATTACAGAGGAAATGGAAAAACGACTGTCTATATGGATTGACAATGAAATTGAACAATTTGCCAATCTACCATACTGGAAAAAGCTAGAATTTTTAATTACATTTAGGTTGAGGCAAGTGACATAAGTGAAAGTTTCGTTGCTAGTCGAGGATGGTTTAATAGATTTAAACATCATAATAATCTTCACAACAAAGATTACAGAAGTAACAAGTGGTGATACAAAAGCAGAGGCTGAATTCGCAGCGACATTAAAAACAATAATTGAACAAGGTAACTATCCTCCATAATTGGTTTTTAATGTAGATGAAACAAGCCTGTTTCGGAAAAGAATGCCAAAACGAACATTTCTAACCCATGAAGAGAAATGAGCACCACGATTTAAAGCCGCAAAAGATTGCTTAGTTTAAAATATAAAAAAAAGTTTCAAGGTGTTTATCACTTTTTTTTTTTTTGAAGAAAATTTATACACAGAGATTGTATTTTCAGGTGGAATTTTATTATGTTTCAGAAGTTTCTTTCCTTTTAATTTGACAAAAGGGCCCAAAAAAGAATATTTGCTGTATCTCTGATTCGAAATCTCGAAAATACCGAGAGATCGGTATTTTCAAATCAGACTGAAATTGAACCAATATACATGCTACAGGATTTCATTAGATTACTCTTATGAAATGAGGAGTAAATGTATACATAAGATAATTCATAATTTTAAAAGCAGAAACAAGGAAAAATTAATGACTCACTTGCAGACAAATATCTATTAAACTTTTGACTTCGAGCTCTTGCAACAGAAAACACTTTAGGCTTGGTCCCAATATCTAGGTTTGTAATGCTAATATGAGAAAAAAATAACATTAGACATCTTTTGTAACATAAATATCCTGATTTCACAAAAATGCAGTAAAAAAAAGGATTTTGATTGATTTTGAATTAAAATTATCAGGGTTTGCAAAAACATGGGTTTCGTAATGGAGAAACCCAATTTACTCAGTGAAAGTTAGGTTTTTTCATGAAACGTCCCAATTTACATCAGATCAGTGTTTTTTATGCACTGATCACCTAGTCAAAGGAGATAAAATTGTAAAAACAAATTGCGTCGTGGCAAACAGCTTTTTCGACTTAAATGAAAAATACAGATTCCACTCGATCCTGAAAATTATGTTCACCTGAATTTTTCTAAGCAAATTATTTTTTTCAAACACAGTAATTTCCATTAAATGCAGGATATAACTAATTAGAATAAGTCTACATAATATAAGCAAAGAAAAAAAAACTGACCAGATTACGAGATATCGAGTGGCAAAAACATTTTAATTCGAAGTTCACCGGAAATTACATAGAAAAACTAGTTAGCGTGCGAGAATAAAAATTTAGGAAGATAAAAAACAAACGGAAAAAAATTTCAGATAAGGATGGCACAAATGTGTAATGACTTGCGAATCAACGATCTGTAGGCTCGCTTATCAATGTCAGTGTGTACGATTTCATACCAGTTTATCACATTTAGTTCTAAATAGCTCTTTTATTGAATATATTCATATTCACTGAGAATGGATGAAGTATTACAACCTCAGTTCTAAGAAAATTGTTCTTGCTGTATTTGTTATCTGTTAAGCAAAGATGCATCATTGACACAGATAAGGTAATTAGCACTAAAATGCGACACTCAAGGCATCTAAATGCAACAGTGCTGTTTTAAGTTTCTGATCACTTGCGTTAGTATCTAAAATTTAAATCTTGCCATCAAAATTTCAAACCCTTCGATTAGCCTGAATGTCCCATGCCCGAAGGTAATATAGGTTTAAATAATTTTATGATGAATACGAGTATTACTTATCGCAATTATATTGCAAAATTGAGAAAATTGTCAATTAAAATTCTGACGTGGATGAATATGCAAATTCCCATCGTGTTTTGACTGCTAATTGCAGCATATATGGCTATATTGTTGCATAGCTGTCAACACCGATAGGGATAAAAACCAGTAGATCTCATGAAATTTAAATTTCATAAGTGTTGCGTAATATACTAAATATTTTACAGGCAGGGATTTTTACGGTTAACAAAAAAGAAAAACTGCAACAATTTCCAGCTATGATGACATTAAATAATCGTAAAATGTTATACATTATGTTTCTTTATAATTTTGAATACTAATTGGCATTTAATTCATCAAAGATAGTTAATTGAATTTTATAAATGAGCCTCGTTTTCTTATGTATCAATATTCAAGCAGACAATAATCTGCACAAAAATTCAACTTGAATAGGGATTTTTTAAGGAAACTTACTGAATTTTAGTAAATATTTACTAAAATATACAAATAACACGAGAATTTTTATGAAACCAGTGGAAACTGGCAAAATTCAGTAGAATTGGCAGCTATGTTATTGATAATAGGACTTTATCATCAATCAATATTATGACTACTTTAAAATAGAACTCAATGATTTTAATTCATATTCACATCTTCATTTGGGGGTATACTACTTATAAGTTTAGTGATTTTTAAATTTTTACCATTTTTTCTAAATAAATACTCTTCATTAAAAAAAAGCACCTTTAATGTTTATTTTCTCATTTTTAGTTTTAAAATATTAAAAAAACTTGAATTGTTTATCAATCAATACTTTTTTAGCTTGCAGTAAATATACACATTAAATAGAATAGATCAAATTCAGTTATTACATAATATTACATATCTTGATTAAAAAAATTTAACAGTGGTAAGTGAGTGCCCTTTCAAAAACTTAAGTGCCTTTTTTGAAAGAAAGCATGTGTCCTTTTTAATACCTAAGGAGAATTCTAAGCATACATACAATGTATATGTATGTACACAGTATGCAAAATAAAAAATGGATCGCACTGAATTACTTTTGATCTAATGGTTAGATCTTCATGTTCTAAGTCTTAATTTTATAGGCTTAAAGAGCTAAATATGCTAATTAGTGCAGATGACATTTAAAGTTACAAAATCAGACACAAAACATTTTTTTAAAAAAATAAACGTACTTTTTTTCTCCGAAGGATTCGAATATCTGACCCCCGAAATAGAGAGTAGCAATAATAGATAGTGACCCAATTTTAAGTTTAAGACTACTATTGTTCAACTTTGTAGCTCGCAATTTTGAACCTAATCCAGATGGCAAGGGAACTCCTGGCTCAATTAGTGAGAAAAATTTGCCTTTGGGTTACATGAAGAGGAATACAATGAAAATCTAGCATTAACCTGACGGCACGTGGACTCTAACCCATGATTCGCATATTCCTGAAGATACTTTACATCAGCACTGTGGTTGATGCGAACCAGATAAGAGCATTTGTATTGACCAGCCATCGACGGGAATTGAACCCTATAAAACCACAATGGGAGGCTAGCACTATCCCCTTAGCCACCAAGACCCCTTAATGATAACTTTAGTTTCTGCATATTTCATATCTAGAGAACTTTTTGAGTGAATTAAAAATTCTTTGCACACAATTATAAAATTCGTTTATGGAAAGATAATTCCATGCAAAATATAATTTTAGTAAATATTATTTATTAATTAAATGTCGAAAAACTTTTCAATTGCTAAGGTACCCTTTGCACCCTTTGAATTTTTAAGATTGAGTTCTAGAGTGTAAAGATCCATTCATTAAACTAAAAGTTATTCAGAGTAGCTTTTTATTATTTTGCACAAGTGAAATGTGCATACAAATCTCCTATATTTTATTAGTATATACATCAAACTCTGCTTGCAGACAAATTTTACGTACTTAAATAATCATACTATTCAGGGTTGGAGTTTTTGCCAGGACAGTGGCAAAAACCTGGTAAAAACCGACGAAAACCAAATTGTCTAAATTGCTGATTAAATATTATTACAAAATACTTGAAACAAATTTAAATCAATCATAAAGAATAATAATTTTGATGCATTACATGAAAAAAAAATTTTTAACATATTAATAATTAATATAAAGGCAATAATTTTTAAAAGATTTAAAGTTTTTGACCTCTTTTCATTTTAGAATACTTAAATAAATGTTTTTTTACAAATAAATATTAATATTTGTATAATATTATTTTTATTTATAAAAAAAAATTATTTATACAATAATTAACTACACATCTTGACAGATATTTTATGCTTTAAATTAGAGTTATATTAATTTAAAATAAGTTCATTTCACTGGAAAAAAGAGAATAATCGCAAATTTTCCAATCCATAATGCTTTAAACTACTAAAATGATATATTATTCCAGGGTTGGCAAGTTTTTGACGCATGATGGTTTTTACCAGTTTATACCATGGTTTTTACCGCCATGTCAAAAACCCATAGTTTTGGTAAAACTGCATTTTTATTTGAGTTTAACTGCTTATAATTTAAAATTAATTCATTTTTGGGCAATAAAATTAGAAAAAAAGTTGTTAAAAGATATTTAAAAACAGACTCTTGCATTTTCCCAACATGATGATATCAAAACATACTATTTGAAGTAAAATATTAGGATACTAAACAAAATTTTCAACATTTCCAAGCATAATTTTGTTTGGCAAATTACATTACTGAAGAATGTCAAGTCATTCTTGATTTAGAGTTTGTAAGTAGTTACAAGTTTTGTTTAGCTTATTTCTAATATTTAAGAAATGCCAAATTTTAAATTCTTTTTAGTTCTTGAACTTATTAACAGTTCCAAGCTTTTTTGTTTGTTTGTTTATTTCTAACAATTAGGAAGTGAACAATTTTTAATCCTTTGTAAATCAAGCTATAATGATAAAAGTTAAGTATCACTATTTTCAATAAGTATATTACAATATTTCTGTATGAATGTATATCCTTCTATAAGAATACATGTATATAGTTGCAAAATCAATAGCAATCATTACAACATTCAACAATTAAGTGAAAATAATATATTGTCCGCTATATGCCATAAATTAAAGAAAACAGTAGGTTTTTAATGGTTTTTACCACTGTCATGTCAAAAACCAGTTTTTGAGAGCAAAAACCCAACCCTGATTATTACATTATGATTTAATTATGGAATAATAATTTTGTTAATTTTTTTGTAATTATTTACATTTATAGCATGTATTTCAATTTTAGGAATAATTTTGTATCAAAAATGTGTTTTTGGCCTCTAATCTTGGAAAATATAGGTTTTTTCCAATTTGCTTGGCAAAAACCTGTTTTTGCCAGGACGGTTTTTACCAGTATTTACCATGGTTTTTTCCACCTTAACAAAATCTTGCCAACCCTGATACTATTAGATAATAACATACACAAACTGCATGCAAACTTTGCAGGCACATACATTTTAGGTACGTACATACCTTCATATATTGTATTAGAAATACTGCAACCACATATTATATTATTTTAAATTTTTATATCAGCTAATTTTAAATATTTGTTATTGTAGATTTTGATAGCTTGCAATCACAATTACATGTAATCATGATTACTTGTTACCACATATTTGATCACGTGTAACTATGATTACCTGCAATAGCTTCCTGTTCTGACTAAATTTAATTATGTAATCATGGATCAAGGTTACTTGTAATCACAATTAAAGTAATTGATTACATAGAAATAGTCATATATAAGCAGTTACACAACTAGGATCACTTGTAAAATCAGGCTCTAAATGCGACAATTATTTTATAATCTCTCTAAAACAATACAAGTGCAGAGTTGCCAATCTTAGGAATCAAAAATTAGGAACACTATATGCAACAAAATTATACGCACCAATTACGAGAGTAAGACAAAAATTTAACTATTAAATATAAACATTAATAGACATATATTTAAATACCTTATGTAAATTAGCAAAACAAA